TCAGAATACCAATGCCAGCCAGCCAGATTTGACTGCAAACCTTATCTTTTGTCTCTGGTTTAATCTAAAAGTTGCCACACCCAGCCTCTGTTCACAAACTGGCCAGCTAATGATGAGGTCCTGGCCATCTCACCCACTAGACTGGGTGGCTCTTCTAAGATCACAAGGAGTGCTGGACATGTTTGGCCCACACTGCCTGTTGTATAACCAGAACCTGTGCTGCTAAAAACTAAAATAGTCTTGACACATTTCAAAACAAAACAAAAGAAGTTCACTTAGGCAATCATCCTGACATATACATAATGGTCTTCTAGAAAACATCTCATTTATCAATTTTGCAAAGATTAAAATATATACACATTACACTTTTTTCTCACCAGAGGTGCAGGAAAACAGGCACTGCTAGTGTTATTGGAAATGGAAGGCAAAGTGACAATGTATATTAAAAGCTTTAAAAACATGTGCATCCTTGGCCTGGCAAATGTACTGGTATGAACTTACACACAAAGATGTGTGTACAAGGACACACACTGCTGCAGCTGCAAAGAGCTCTGAACAATGCAAAAGCTCACAGCAGGACCAAGTACAGAACTGCAACTCGTCTGTATATAAACAGGCTATTGACCAAAAACGGAGCCTTTTACTGATAGAAAAAGCAATCACATTTTCTTCTATGTATTCGATTGTATTTTCCAAATTTATGTAGAAAATATATTCAACTTTTGTTAAATGGAGGGAAAATAAATTGTTGTAGAAAAGAAAGAAATACTCTCTGATGGTGTATTTTGAACTCATACAGAACTGGTTAACTTTACACATATTACCCCTTCACCCCAATAGCTATCTGCGCAGGATCCGTACAATCTCCAATTCCACACACTTTTGAGCAGAGGGGTTGGCCTCAGGCTACTAAGTGGCACCCCTGGGGTGGAGGCCCCACTAGGAGGAGGTGCGGAATGTGCATCGAAGTGCATGACCGAGGCGGGGCTTGCTTCCATCACCTCTGGCTACTCCATTGCCTCCTATTCTCCAACTAGATACGTCAAGTCAACTGATGAACCAGCCAGGAAGTTACCAGACTTCTGGTAAAACCAGGATGTTTTACAAACCACAAAAGCAAACACACAGAGCATCTTCCGCTAAAACAAGCTCACCATTAAAATTACACAAAACAGTTGTGCAGAAGGTTTTGTGCTTACACAGACTTTGTGTTTGTACTACCAAACACAAGCTTAACCTTAAACAGCAGCACACAGCCACGCAGCCTGCAGGCTGCCTGAACCTGGCCTGAGCTCAGAACCCAAAATGACACACCAGCCTCTGGCCTTGACACGAATGGAGACAATCCATTGGAAAGCTAGCAGACAGTGAAATGGGCCTCTTTTTAGAAGTGGAATCAAATGTACTGAAAAATTAAATAATTTTGAGTCTTTCCACAAAAATTGAAAAGAAATTCTAAGAATAAATTTTTCAAACTAATTGCTAACTACAAAACTGATTTAAGATATAACAACCTCCCTCTAAAAACAAAACAAAAACAACAAAAACCGCCTGTGAAATCTTATTGCAGATGAGGAAGTCAAGGGTGATCTCACGCTGGAAGCATCGCAGGCTGAAGGTCGCCTGCGTGGGCCCTCAGTGCTCTGACTGTGCGCCGGGCAGACACGGTCTGCTCTCACACTGGGACCCAGCTCCTCTGAAGGGCTACGTGACTACAAAACTGATTTAAGATATAACAACCTCCCTCTAAAAACAAAACAAAAACAACAAAAAACCGCCTGTGAAATCTTATTGCAGATTAGGAAGTCAAGGGTGATCTCACGCTGGAAGCATCGCAGGCTGAAGGTCGCCTGCGTGGGCCCTCAGTGCTCTGACTGTACGCCGGGCAGACACGGTCTGCTCTCACACTGGGACCCAGCTCCTCTGAAGGGCTACGTGCCAGGCACTGCGCATGTGGTATTTGGTGGGTCCTCACAACCCAGAAGATAGCCGGTGTCCTGTCTCCATCTCATGGGTAAGAAAAACAAAGCACTTTTTAAGGGGAAAGTAAGTGACTCCAAGCCCCACTGCAAGTGGCTGATGACTGAGCAGGATCTGAACAGCGACAGTCCAGGTGCAGGGTCCAGCCCAGCCTCTGCTTAACCGTCTTCCTCCAACCCGACTCTCACAAAGGCGCCTAGTAACTAGACTAGAGTAGAACTACTTGTACAGTGAGAAAGGCGCCTCTGCAACGAAGGACAAGTCACCTGTGCAGCAGGAAGTGCTGGGTATAAACTGCGGTGCCAATCCAGCATGGAGCCTGTGGTGCTTGGAGGATTGAGGGGCTTCAGCAGAGAGTGGTCACCGCTCTGGCTCTGGGAACCTAACAGGTGCAGCACATGCCAGGGGACACGAGGGACAGTGCACCCAGTAGCATCAGCAGGAGCAACACAGGAAACAGGAGGGAGGTCATCAGAAGGACAGAGACTGAGAGCACCAACAGCAGGTGGCCAGGAATGCAGCGCTCAGCAGTGGAAGGGACATGGCAGAACCAGAAAACAAGAGCAATAAGTATGACTAAAAGCAGGGGAAGATCAGGATGACGATTACAATTTCATTCAGAAAGGAAAAAGGCCACTACAATAAGAAGTGCTACAAACAATAAAGAGCATGGAAAATGCCCTCAGCAGACTCCCCAGGCCACAGCATGAGAGCCTGGGGGAACCCGTGCATGCCATGGAGCTCCACATGCGCCCAGACACAACCCAGAGACCCAGGAGACCAACCCGTCAACCACACGCTTCTCTTGCCAGCCCAGCGGGGAGTAACGCACCCATGTCTATTTCCTGCCACCATGGCCAGAGCATTCCAGAATCCAGGGGATGAGCTAGGAAGGCTGGAAGAAGCTCCTTCATGCAGGGAGAGCTGACAAGGGCAGGGAGTGTGCTGCTCTGCAGCAAACGAGCGGGACACCACGCAGGCACCTTGCATGGCCCAACTGCACTGTCTGCAAATGCCCAAATGGGAAAGGACCCTCGGTGGGACAAAGACACCAGGTGAGCAATGCCGCTGGAGGAAGTGGAATCTTCATTCCCACTCAAGGCTGGATGTTCTGGCTGTCCCCTCCGATCTACTTTCCACACTTTTCCACGGGGAGCTGTATGTGATACACCAGTGGGCTCCCTCGCCTTCCAGCTTCCCAAATGCCTGGAGGTCACAGGGGAGGAGAGGGAACCTTCCCTGCAGAGCCACCTCGGGCACGCACCCCTCACTAGGAGGGCACAGCCCCTCTTAAGGCTGCCTGTGTTGTGCTCACTCCTGCCTGGCTGTGGCATCTCTTTCCTCTTCTTTGCAGGCTGGCAGCCATGCTATGAGTCAGCATTCTAAGTCAAGAAAAATAATTTGAGAAGGATTCTTAGATTCTGGAGTTTTTGATTTGGCTGGGCCCAGCACTAAAGGGGCTGGGTCTGCACATCCTCTAAGGCTTTCTTACTACTGCCCCAAAGTGTGCAACAGCTCTTCTTAAGAAACCCTCCTGGGGTCATCCTAATTTGAAAATGCCATGTCTGAACAGCTGGGACTGTAATACACACCCAATTTTTTCCCCCAGTCAACTAATAGGACAGAAATCTTTCGATGAGGTAGAAGCTCTAGTACACGTGAACAGAGAGCCCTGTTCTATGCATGAATGGACCTCACAGTCCCACTCCCAGGTCTGCACAGCTGGATCTGAGCAACCAAAGCAGATCATCTAAATCTACGCGATGACAAAGTAACAAAAGAATATAATTTTCAGGTGGAAAATGTTACTTTTCCTCATTTTCTTGATTAGATATCTAAGGCAAGGAAAATAATTTGATAAAAATTCTTAAACTCTTGAGTTGGCTCTAATAGACTGGCTCTGAAATAAGAACTTCTCCTTTAGAAACTAACTAAAACAATTCCTCTTCACTTAAGTAAAAAGTAATGTTTAAATCTCTTAAGATTATTTTAAACTAAGTGTTAAGTTTCTCATTTGGTACTCTAGGGTACACAAAAACAAGTTGGTATATGATGAAATACTACCCCTACCAATGGTTTAGCTAATACAGTAAATTTATACTCTAAGACCTTTTCTAAACGGGCCTTAACAACAACTGTGCTCTTGGGGACCCTGGTGTGGAGTACAACAGGAGGAACACTCCCTGAGCACCTAGATGACCTGGATTCTATGACAAGTTACATGATGGGGTAAGTCACCTAACCTCTTTCAGATTCAATTTCCTGGTGGTAAAATGAAATCAGATGGCTCACTTAGGAACGGTGATTGGTGATGCAGGCTGGGGAGCGAGAGGCACACAAATCTTCTGAAACTGTGTGTAACATTTTGTTTGTGCACATAAGAATGCTGTTTAAAGAACAATGGTCTTTAAAGTTTCCTTACCTAAGAAAAAGTGTACAGTAGTCTTTGGGTGAGTTAATCTCCAAGGCAGATATTTCAGCACAGATAAGCCACGTAAGCCTCACTGACAGGCTTCTTCCACACACCCGCAAGTGCACACACACAACACACCTGCCACGTTTTGTGTGACTGGTTAGTGGCACAGCTTGCTGTGTCACCCACCCTGCCATCTGCATGTCCACACACAAAGCTATTTATCTGAAAAGACAGTCCTGAAATAAGGTAAATGCCTACATACAAAACCTAGCTTTGCGTATGCACCAGGGGAGCAGTCGTTACCAGTGAAGACCAGCTCACATAGTATAAGCCAAAGTTACCTAAAAGATTATATTAAGACACTGATTTAAAGAGGCTTGCCTTGGACAAACATGAACTTCATCATGATGAGAGCAGAAATTATATTTTGGAGCAATTGATCTATGCAAAAAGTAACAATGCAAATAACACACTAAAAATTAAAGACATTCAGGAAAAGAAACCTTTTATAAGTACAAACAGGTTAATGCCTGGGATTTCAAGGTTTGGAGTTTTCTGTTTGGACAATCAAAAAACAGGTAAATGGAGGGAGAAGCCGACTTACTTCTAACAGCTTCAGTTCCTGCACACAGCTGTGAAGCAGCTCTAGGGCGCGCTGGGCCACTTCCCACGGCCTCTGCAGGAAGAGTAGCAAGGTGCACTGGCGAGAGAACAGGTAACTGCGCAGATCTAAAAGGGTGGCTTCTTGCCTCTGTATCAATTCCCGCTTCTCCATATCTATGGGCTTTCGAAGGATCAATCCGCTCCAGCTCTTCACCGGCTGGCAGAAAAAAGTCAGCCAGTTGGCACCATCTAAACAAACACATAGCATGAAAGGCACTGATGACGGATACATCACCTTGCGGAGATTCTTGCTTAGGACTGTGAAGCCTGCTAGATGAACAGGCAGCTTAACAACTAGGTGCTTTGTGACCCCCACCCCGCCCCCCTTAACCAAGCAACACGACCTCCTCAGTTGCTGGCGCCTGCCAGTTGTGCACAGGGTGAGATGACCTAGGTGCAAGGCTCACTGTCTCAGCATGCCCAGGTCACATGCAGGAGCTGAACAGGTGGAGAATCCACCCAGAGACTGAAGGGCTATGGAATGAGGGACACCTCAGGCTCTGTGCCCGTTAGGCTGAAAGGAGGCACTAGTCTTGGATAGAGCATGGCTGGCTACCTTATCTTTACCTGTGCATTGGAGTGCAGCCCGTCCACCTGACCATCCTGGTATTTTTTTGTGTTCCTTAGTTTCCATATTTTTTCTTACTTATCTCCCTAACTCTACCACATCAACTACCTTAGAGAAGCTCCTAAAGGAAAGGACAGTAGGTAAAAGGAGGACGTAGTAGCAGCAAGCAGAGGCAAGAAAACCCATGCTTGTCGGAAATTTCAACAAGGTTCTGCAATTTTAACTTATAGCCCTAAGACTCAAATTGGATCTTAAAATAAACAAGAATCTACAACAGGAAGTCATTCAATCTTTATGAGAAAAAATTTTTTACTCTCTTCTTGTCACTCCAAAGGAGAGGTATCACAACCAGTTCATTCTACGTTCAAGTAAGGAAGCGACTCACTATTAGCAAACTGGCATGACTAAATATTTGAAGTGCCAACTCCAGCTACGACACTCTCCACTGACTCAAACTTCTCCTCAGAGCTGGTGAAGTGCTCAAGAGGGGAGATGCCAGCCAGCCTGGGAGTCTCCTGCACCCTAGCATTCTCAGGGGCACTCCCACAGCCCGCTCAGGCCTCTGTGCCCGCTTAGAGAGGCTGCCCAATGGCCCTGTCTAGACTTCCCAGCATCTCGCATCACTGCCCCGCTCAGCGTGTCCCTTTCCACAGCCTGCATGGACTGCTCTCGGCGTGAAGTCACACAATTGTTTGGCTGTGCCTGTCTCCCCTTCATGAAAGCTCCATGAAGAAAGGGTTTTGTTCTGTCCCTCAGTGTAGGCAGAACAGCGCCTACCACATGTGGGCCGCCCTCAGTAAGTACTTGGAGAATGAACAAACAAAAATGAGCAATCTCATCATTCAGCTCAAAGCCTGGTACAAGCTAACTTTTGGGTTTTACATCACCTCAGATTTATTTTGAAACTGAGAGAAAAAAACAAAGAAATTATGCAAAATTTAAGGAATTTATAAGATACTTAAAAGATATATATGTATAATACGAACATCTAGAATATAAGAAATAAAGTTTTACCTCTTCCAATTTTTAAAAATTTAATTAGTAAATACTTTGTTTTGGTTATGTTTATATTTGTGTCTTAGCAGAGTAAGATATCCAAACCTGAACTTCGTAAAAATTGGTTTGGAGTAGGTTTTGATCAGTGACCTTTCATTATCACTTTCAGAATAAGGACAGTACCCATGGCTAGAGCTGACTGTCCCAGTACCTCACCTTGCTACAGGTTCTCTAGTCAACACTATGAGTCCTTGAAATCACTCCTCTCTTCAGACATGATGACAAGGACTCTCGAAAAGAGCAGCCAGCAAAGATAACTATGACTGCATTGCTTGTAGTGGCAAGAAGTGGAAAATAACCCAAATATCCAACACCAGGGGATGGTTGAATAAACTCTCAGAAATCATGCTATGAAACATTATGCAGCTACTAACAAAGATAACTTAGAATCCGATCCATTACCTTGGAGAAATGCCCGTCATGGACTGTTAACAGAGACAAGTCTATATAATATGATGTCATTTCTATCAAAATAAGTATCAGTGAAAAACAGTGAGGACTATCAATTTTTTTTTTACATGTTTCATTGTGCTAATTTTGTATTTTAAAAGAACTTAAGGGCCGGCCCGGTGGCGCACTGCTACAGTGCGCCGCTCGGGAAGCGCAGCAGGCGCTCCCGCCGAGGGTTCGGATCCCACATACAGACCGGTTCCCGCTCACTGGCTGAGCGAGGCGTGGGAGCAACACCGAGGGTTGCGATCCCGTTGCCGGTCCCGGTCCGGTACGGGCGCGACACTGAGGGTTGCGATCCATTGCCGGACACGAAAAAAGACAAAAAGGAAAAAAAAAAAAAGAACTTAAGACATTGTTTAAGAGAAAGATGAACACCTGTTACAAGGGTGTCATGTAAAACTCATAGCAATGGCACTCAAATATTAGAGACAACCTCTCAACGTAGTAAAAGAGACTTCCATTCTTACCCTAGCAAGGTATAGAATCGGAAGATAGAAATGTCACTTTATACCTGAAAAACAACTTTTTATTTTATTTTACAAAAGATGACCGGTAAGGGGATCTTAACCCTTGACTTGGTGTTGTCAGCACCATGCTCACCCAGTGAGCTAACCGGCCATCCCTATATGGGATCTGAACCCGGGGCCTTGGTGTTATCAGCACCACACTCTCCCGAGTGAGCCAAGGGCCGGCCCCAAAACAACTTTTTAAATGCTTTTATTACTTAAGATTCTTCTAAAACTAAAAGTGATTAATCTTTAATTTCCATTTCATTTCCTGTAAGAATCATGAGAACACATCCTATAAATATGTACAAAACCAACAAAAGACGATTATTAGGTACATAAAATGGCAGCTTCAAGACTACCTGAGATGGGGGAGAAACCAATTTTTTCTGAAAAAAGAATTTGTTGCTGAAACAGCACTACTCACCCCCAGCACCAAAGTTGACAACATACTGAGAAAACAGGGCGTCCAGCTCATCGTACTGCACAAGCGCGTCTTCGAACTGCTGTAGCATCTCAAACACAAAGGCAAGTTCCTCCTGTTTTCCCAAAAGAAGTTTAAAGAACAAAACATAAATCAACTGCCTGAAACAGTATGTGGCCATTAAAGATTTCAATAGAGAAAGCATGCAGTATTGTGAATGACGTTCATGCTGTGTGTGTGCTATGTAACAATCAACTTGATGACCATAACATGTCAACATTTATTCATGCACGGAGATGGGGACAGCAAGAAATAGGAAAAGATCAACATGACTTCCAAATGCCCTCCTTGACCTAACAGCAGCAATGGACACAATGGTCACTCTCTTGTCCTTGGTGTTTTCCTTGCCATCCTGACATGCAGTGACCGGCACCCTTCCCACACCCTCCTCCTACTATGGCTCCTCTTGCCCCCCAGACTTTCTGCTACGGGCCCCAGGGCTCAGCCCTCAGACTCCTCTTTCTACACTCACTATCCCCTTTTAGAGGTCTTACCAACACATGGCTTCACATGCCACCTACACGTTACGACTACAGAATTTGTCACTCCAGCTCAGACCAGATTTGTGGTTCCAACCGCATGCTCAACATCCTCATTGTGATCCAACCACAACAAGTCTGCATGTCCACAACTGAACTGCAAACCTTCTCCACAATGCACACCACCCAGTCTTCCCACCTCAGTCAGCGCTGCTCACCACTCTCAGAGGAGACTCCTAAAACCTTTCAAGGAATTCCCAGGCCCTGCGAGGTCTGCCTCCCCAATCACCTCTCCAGCCTCACTCACTCTGCTCTACCTCCAAAGCCTCCTCCCAAACCTCACACATATCGGGCACACAGCTGCCTCAGGACCTTTGCACTGCCTGAAGCACTTTCTCATTCCTCCCACAAATATCCGTGACTTGATCTTCAACCACTGTCAAGTTCTCACCACGTCACCTGCGCATGAGGCCTTCCCTTCCTTAACAGTTGACTGAAATGGCTGCTTCCCTGCCCAGCACTGCACCTCACTGGTGCTTCCTGTGCTTTCCTCCAGCACACAGCGCAATTCACCCGTTTGCTATCTCCCGACTACAACATAAGCTTATGAAAGTTGCTTACTGACACCACCCCAGCACCTAGAAGTCGATCTGGCACATGCAGGTTCTCAACAGCATTTGTGGAATAAAAAAAATGTAAAGAGACGATCAGGTGATTTTTTTACTTTCTGATTTCCATTATCACACATTAAAAAGTAAAAACCAGGAGATCATATGCACACACATAAATTCACACACTGACATACTCAGGTACTTGGAATCCAGCTTCACCTCAGGTATTTGTGGACCCTCTTCCAAGACCCTTAGAGGCCCGGGTCGCTGGGTGAGAACTGAGGGCACAGACTGGATCCCCACTGCCTGGGTCAGATCCAGACGCTGGCACTTCCCAGATGTGGCTATGTTAACTGGGTAAGCTGTGCCTTGGTTTTTTTATCTGGATAATAAAGTTTCTCTCGCATGAGGTTTCTGTATGCGAATTAAATTCATTTCTGTAAACTGAGTGGAAGAGCCTGGCACACAGTTAAGCAGGTGGTTAGTGTCAGCCATCAGCAAATGTGGCTAAGAGGTGCGGGGGTGGGGAGCACCGGAGCTGTTTTCCCCAGGGCCCAGGACTTCTCCCAGCTCTCCTTTGTATCTTGTTTCCCCTGAAAGCTGGTGGACAGTACTTTACAAGAAAAATTGCTGAGTTACACTGAATTCTTCTTTATGAAGTATTCTCAAGACTGAGCACTCCAATAAACTAATTTTTTTCTTTTTAATTGTGATAAAATATACATAACAAAATTTAACATCTTAACATTTTTAACTATACAGTTCAGTAGCGTTACATACGTTCACACTGCTGTACGGCCAATCTGCAGAACTTTCTAATCTTCCCAAATTAAAACTCTGTCCCCATTAAACACTAACCTCCCATCCCCTGACCCCACTGTTCTACTTCCTGTCTCCATGAATTGGACCCCTCTAGGGGCCTCATAGAAGTGGGATCACATGGCATCTTCTCTTGGCTTCTTCACTTAGCATAATGCCTTTAAGGTTCAACCGTGTTGTAATATGTGTCAGGATTTCCTTCCTTACTCATTTTTAATTCTGAACTAATTTTAGACTTACAAAAATATTGCAAAAAAAAAAATCATGCAGTTTCCATACAGCCTCAGCTATGCTCAGCTTCCTGTAACCTCTTACAGAACCATAGTACAACTATCAAAACCAGAAAATTAACACTGGTACAATACTATTAACTAAACAGTTCTTATTTTAATATTACCAGTTTTTCCACTAATGCCCTTCCTTCTGTTCCAGGACCCCACGTCACACCAGGTGGCCATTTCCCTCAGTCTCCTGCAACCTATAACAGTTTATCAGTCTTCCCTTGATTTTCATGACCTTGGCAGTTTGAAGAATGCTGATAAGTTACTTTGTCAATGACCCTCCATTTGGGTTCATCTGCTATGTTTTCACAATTGCCGATAAATTTTACAGAGAAAAGATGTCTCTTTCTCAGTGAGTCTCCTCAAGGAACTTGTGATGCTAGTGTGTCTTCTCACGGATGACACCAGCTGTGATCACATGGCCCAGGTGGTAGGAAGCAGGTTTCCCACTGCACTTTCTGCAGTTCACAAACACTGGGGAGATGGGGAGCTTATTCACACCCACCTCTTCTCAGGCGTTTGCCCACCACCACCTTCAGCACCCATCAGAGATCCTGTCACCAGAGTTCTCACTGTGGCATTTGCCAAAAGGTGACTTTCTATTTTCTTTCCTTCTCCATTTGTAACTGAAATCCTTCTGTATGAAAGAGCTCAGCAATCTCCTTCATTTACTTTTTTAACCAACTATTTATTTATAACAATATAGACACACAGGTATTAATTTGATTCTCTGGATTAAAATACAATTCCATCATTATTTGTTTTGTTGTTCAAACTGTTCCAGTGTTGATCATCGGGAGGCTCCTTCAGGGGTGCTTGTGCTCTCTGGATGGGCCCACATCTTTTTTGTGTGCGCTTCCTTACTTTCTGGTTCTACAAGATGTTCCAGGTCCATCTAATATACTTCCTGCCCCAACCCTGTAGTCAACCACTTCTGTGATGAGCTCTGGGTCCTTTTATTGGAGAATGGAGTTTAGAAACCTAGACCTAAGCACTGGGTGTGCTCCTTGCTTCTAGGGTGTCCTGTTTCGAGGCCCTGTCAGTGGACAGAGCAAGGAGACATGCGTGTGTGCTAATAGTCATACATCAACATATCTGTGCTTCCGAATCTACCTACCTATCCACCCATCCATTCACCTGTCAATTAAACCATGGGCTCATGCTGACACTACCAGCTCTCTTCAGCCTCTCCCTTTCTTTGTCTGTAACTCCTACAGACTAGGCTTAACAAGCCTGAGGGTGAAGAGACAGGACAACTAGAGAGGTCTGCAATATGTCAATCATTCAGGAAGTTACTAACATATTCAAATCCCCTTACATATTCCAAATCTTCCAAATACCCCTAAGACAAAAGCCTCACAGAAAGAAATAGAAATCAAAATGTCTAATCAAAATGGGCCTTTTATTTATTCAAAATACGTTATTTCTCAGGCCGGCCCGGTGGCGCACTCGGTAGAGTGCGGCGCTTGGGAGCGCGGTGGCGCTCCCACCGAGGGTTCGGATCCCATATAGAGACCGGTCCGCTCACTGGTTGAGCACGATGCGGGCGCGACACCAAGGGTTGCGATCCCGTTACTGGTCACGAAAAAAAAAAAAAAAAAGTTATTTCTTTAGTAATTACAATTGATGGTTAAATATAAAAATTATGGGGCCGGCCCGGTGGCGCACTCGGTAGAGTGCGGCGCTTGGGAGCGCGGTGGCGCTCCCGCCGAGGGTTCGGATCCCATATAGAGACCGGTCCGCTCACTGGTTGAGCACGATGCGGGCGCGACACCAAGGGTTGCGATCCCGTTACTGGTCACGAAAAAAAAAAAAAAAAAGTTATTTCTTTAGTAATTACAATTGATGGTTAAATATAAAAATTATGGGGCCGGCCCGGTGGCGCACTCGGTAGAGTGCGGCGCTTGGGAGCGCGGTGGCGCTCCCGCCGAGGGTTCGGATCCCACATACAGACCGGCTCCCGCTCACTGGCTGAGCGAGGCGCGGGAGCAACACCGAGACGTGCGATCCCGCTGCCGGTCCCCGGTCCGGTACGGGGGCAACACTGAGGGTTGTGATCCGTTGCCGGACACGGAAAAAAGACAAAAGACAAAAAAAAAAAAAAAAAATTATGCTTTACTAAGTCAAAAGATGATGAATAAGAATGAGCAACAGTCTTGTCACTCTCTGCAGTGTCACAAAGGCCGCATCTCCCCAAACTAAACCAGCACACATCCCTTTGTTCATCTAAGACCTTTCTTGTTTAAAGGGAAAAAGGGCTGATTTTGAACTACAATTCTAAAGGTGTAAACATTTTTGTAAACTGCAGTAAAGAAACTAGCTTAATGCAATCTTTTATTGGAACCCAAGGTTATAAAATAAAACAACGGAGGAAAGTTTCCCAGGAAGCCACTTAATCACAGAGCCTGCAGAGAGTGAATACACACCTCTATCTCCACGACCGTCAGCCCCTGCCAGGAACCTCTGTCTGATTCATGTCCACGGCAGACAGCCCAGAAGGCTCCCAAGATGAAAACAAAACCAAGATCCCTCTGAGGACAAGGCTGTTTCAGACAAGGTTGGATGCCACACTTTGAGCAGCAGCAGACCTGGCAGAGACCACCTCTGCTCTGCTGCTTCACAAGCCAAGAAACTGAAATGTCTCCTCTGGCTACTCTATCATCCCTGTTTTTAAGAAATATGCCAGAAAGAACTACAAGACAGCTGCCTAATTTAGAAAGAAAAAAAAAGGGATGGAGGGAAGGAGACTGTCCAGTTCCATAATTAGTCAAGTACCTGAACCATGAAATATTCACAAAAGCTCCAGCCTGGCTCAGTCCTCTTCTCCCTCAAGGTTCTCATGTCATCCTCAAACTTGCCTAGGTTTTTGGTAAAAGACATAAGAAGCAATGTCCTGAGTTTGGTCAGGAAGGCATTCCAGGATTCCTGAGTTCGAGAAGAGTCCTTCAGGGGGTCGGACAGCACCACACACCTGCAAAGACATGAACGGGCTATCTGGGAAGGACCCTCCACACACAGCACCGCTGCTCGGTGGCCACCACTTCCCTGAGCATCACTTCAGCTCCCTCCCCCACCAATCCCCCAATTAGTGAAAAACACTGGGCAGGTGGTGAGACATCAGGTCAGGAAAAGGTTCGTCATCAATGGCTCATGGCTGCACAAGGAGTAAGTGCTGCACAAGTTCCAAGGAGGGTTTGCTGTGGAAGGGCCTGGAAGGGTGAGAGGGTTTATGATGCACTTGAAGCCCTAGACCCACCTCCAGGGGTCTGCAATAAAATAAGGTGAGGGTCACACTTAGTTCTCAGCTATCATGTGCGCTGCCCCCTCAACATCTCTTCTGGTTCCCTGTAACTGATCCACTGCACTTCTGATGTTCACCCCCTTCACTGACCACATTCCTACTCACCCAACCTCACACCTCAAGGAACATCTCCCACCTCGACCCCTCTGCTCTGCACCCTCAGCTCCCACTGTGATCACACCACTGCCAAGATAAAAGCTCCATGGAAAAGCACGTTCCCTCTCTGTAGGTCTGTCTCTCCCACCAGACTGTGAGCTCTGCAAGGGCAGGGTAAGTAAACAATAAATAAAGGCTTAGAACATAGCTTAACATATAGGTCTGATTCAATTTAATTACAAAGAGACTGTACCCATGATGTACAAATATCAAAGTCATAAAATTACAAGAAAGTTTCCAGTGGATTTGGAAAGGACAAAATCTTCCTCCCACAAGTTGGAAATAACTTTCTTCAGCCTTGGTAACAGTAATTTTAAAAGATGAATATATTTGAACGCAGAAATAATTTTAAAGTATTGATGCTATGTGCATCAACATCTCTCCTTAGTGAACATTTTACCTGAATCACCAACAAGCAGCACAACAACCTGACATAGCCTCTTTTCCTCTGCTCCCCGTACATCTCTGGTGGGATGGCTGAGTCCACGGAATTAAAAATCAGTGGACAAAAGGTAAAGAAGCACACACTAACAAGTTCCACCATAAGAATAATCGGAACCGAGAAGAAAACTTAAAAATCAGCAGCTGGCTTTAATGCCAGTCACTCCGCCTCATGGGGCACTGTCTCTCCCCTGAAAAACAAAAGGCCAGAGCCAGCTCACTCCCAGGCCCCACAAGGACCACAGGGTATTTATTTATTCATGTACGAGCAGCCAGAATCTATCAGTTTGGCAGTTCATCCTTAAGGCATTCTCGAGGATCATAATTGTTAACAATTATTCCTGACCAGATACGAGTCCCCCTACACCCACAGGGGTGGATGGAAATGGAGATGGACACAAACACCAGCCCCTAAACAATGTCGTTTTTCAGTGACCTGTGCTTGTCAATCAGACGCAGTATTCATTATATTCTCCATCCTGTATGATGCCCTTTGACTTTTACTGTTTCTAGATCTTTTTTTTTTTTTTTTTTTAAATAAAAAAGTACTATTCTTTGGATATCCACATCAAGTTTAGATGGTTAGCTCAAAAGGTAAAGTCTGAAATAGCGACTGAAGTCAGGGACAGTGGGGCCAGTCTGGGGAGCAGTAGCATCTCCAGTGGGAGGCCACTGCGTGGTGGTCCCAAGCAGCTGCCCACATGGGCGCAGTGTAACAGGGAGATTCCGCTGATGCTGGCACAATTAATAAGTCTCTGATTCGGCAGCATTTATCAAAAGCTTGAACAATGCACAAAAATTTTTATCAAGCAATTTCCCTTTAAAGCATTTATCCTATGGAAATAATTAAAGATGATCACAAAATGTGAGCTGGAAAGATGTTCATAATAATGTTGTTTATAATAATAAATAACCTGTAAGCTCAGCAAAGGACTAAATAAATAACTTATGGTACATTAATACTATGGAATATTATTCACCAAAAACAATGACACAGAAATACATTTATTGTTAGTGGAAAGATTTTATAATGCATTAAGTGAAAAAAGCAAGCATAAAACATTATGCACAGTATGATATCAATTTAAAATATGTGCATGATGAGAAAAAAGTCTGGAAAGACACATACCAAAATACTGAGAGTTAACATCCATTTTCTTTTTGCTCATTACCTTCTTCTAAAAATTCAACAATGAACATGTAATAATATAATAAAAAATTAAACACAAGTATAAGGTTAAAAAGAATAGTAAGCCATTTCAGGGCCAAGTGTTTCAATATTTCCAACAGCCAGAAATTTACTGTCTAATAAAATAACTGTCAATATAGACTCTATTCAATTCAATTTTATGAGAATCTGACCCAGCTTTTACATTAAAAAAATAAAGTATAAATTTGTTTAAAGGTGTGTTTTCAAATTAATGAAAATCAAAATGGTAGAAGGCACGCTTAAACCACTGGAGATGAAGATGAAACATTACAAATTTTAATAAGTTAAATTTTATATATAAAGAATAGTCATTAGAAAGCAACTTATGATTATTCACATCGTATACATACATAAAACATTACACGGTACCTCATAAATACATATAATTATTATGTGTCAACTGAAAATAAATCTTAAAAAATATTCTAACGTCAAAAAGAAGCAAGTTAGTTGTAAAGGGGCCAAGCAAAAACATACTTATAGCAATTAGAAAAATTACCAACACAAGGCTGGCTGCTTACTCAGTTGGTTAGAGCACAGCCTTGTAGTATCAAGACCCCCAGTTCAGATCCCTGCAAAGGCCAGCCGACCCCCACCAAAAAAAAAAAAAAAATTACAAACAGATTCTGAAAGTGTTATTATACAATGTGAGCATTTCAACAGTTCACACAATAAACCTCATTAGCACCAATATATTTACTTAATACAGTCCCAAACGAACATGACTTCTTTTGTTATATTAAAGAAAACCTTAAAGGCCACTTGGAGGGCCGACCCCGTGACTCACTCGGGAGAGTGTGGCACTGGGAGCGCTGTGGCGCTTCCACCGCGGGTTCGGATCCTATATAGGGATGGCCGGTGTGCTCACTGGCTGAGCACGGTGCGGGCGACACCAAGCCAAGGGTTGCGATCCCCTTACCAGTCACAGAAAAAGGACAAAAAAAAAAAAAAAAGGCCACTTGGTTTTTGACTTTCAGCTCCGTCTAGATGTTTTATTAGTCAGTATTGGCCCGTTTGTTAGTAGAGATGAGCCACAGAGAGGGAAAGGACACCAATTATGTAGCCTCTTGTTAAAATGTTATACAGATTCCTCCTGGCTAAGTAATTTATGAATAACATACCTTAAAAAAATTTCCACCAGTCCAGACTGCATGAAATTTCTCCAAAATAAGCCATAAGCTCAACAATCTAATAATTAATTCAACTATAAAGAGAGCAAGTCTGATCATGACCGTGTGCCCAGTACTATGTGCAGCATGAAAAAGACACCCACCGTGCTCCTTCCCCTGCAGAACTGTCCACTCACAGGGGTGACACTGACACACGAGCGGTCACACGACAAGATCACACGTGATCATGTGGCCCTGTCTGGCTGCCATTGTGGGGTGCACATACACAGGACTGCTTCTCCGTGCTCCTGCCTTACCTCCTCGGCCTCCCCCTCTCTCAGCCCACCACTGCCTTCTCAGGGCGCCACCCTCAGCCCCCAGAGTAGGCCAGCTCCCGGAATGAAGCTCCTGCAGCTCTCTGGAACCCTTCATCTGAGCTCTTGCCATAGGGTGACCATGGGTATGATGACCTGCTGAGTCAGAGCAGGGTCCAGGCTTACCACCAAATCCCCAGGACCTGGGTGAGTTCAAGTGCTGAACTATGAGAGACAGGCCATCAGTCACACAGGAGTGAGCACACCAGCTGCTCAGTTAGGAATGGCACCACTGGAGGGAAAGGAAGTGAGCTGGCCCCAGGAGCAAGAGCAGGGTGCAGACAGGGAGGAGTAAGCCCATGCAATATGTTAACATCCAAGTGTCAGGTTCCCTTCTAAGGTTTCTGAAGGGATTAAGCCAGCACCTTATAACTTCTACACTTGGGAACTCTTATTAGGTATTAAGGTAAACAAAAAAAGGGCCCATAGTTTAAAAAAAAAAAAAGTTTAAGGAACCTGTTCTGCACAAGGACTGCAAGACTGGCCACTGTCAGTCCTCAGGAAGGGACCCACCATATGGTCTTCCCCAGGGCCCCCTGGGGGATTACTGTTCACAGTTCCTTGGCCTGCCAGACCAGCAACTCTGTGAGGACACGGACCAACCAGGTCTCCTGGCCAGAGCCCCACAATCACTCACTAGAGACTAAGTCAATCAATACCTATCACTACCCAGGAAGTCAGCGATCCGTACCATCTGGAGACCAACCAAATGAGGTAAAATTAAAGATACACTTACCTGTCACTCTGTTTATTACAAAAATCATTTCTTATTTTGTCCACAATAGAAGTTCGGGGAAGGATGTTGGTTTTGTTTTTTTTCTTGGCATCATTTTCAACTACCACTATTAACCAGTCCACAGAGCTATGAGCTTTCAGAACATTCTGCCACTTGGTGAGGTCGTCTTTTACTGTAGCTTTATATACTTCAGTATCCTAAAAATAAATAATTCACTGTGAAAGCAAGTTAATCAATGCCGTTTATATGGCAAAACGTGTCTAGTAACAGTTTGGCGGTCACGATGTTTCAAAGCCCCGGGCCAGCTCAGGGACGGAACCGAGCAGAAAGCCCAATGGCCTGCTGAGCCTGCGGACGGCTCAGAGCAGGCACAGCGCCACGCTTGGTGTGCACACTCCAGAACACACGTGACACTGAGGGAAGACAGCATCCCAACACCCCAGAGCACTAGGTAAGTTGCTCACACGGCAACAGCGGGTGTTAGGCTCTGCACCCAAGCACTACATGACTATGATCTGGGTGTGTGCCACGCCCTGATGGTGGGAGTCAAGCGGGCTGTCACCACTGTGGCCTGCCAGCCTCCCTTCAGCTCCCTGCAAGCCCCACAGACCACACTGGAGGCAGGATAGCGTCACATGTGCAGCCAAGAACAGAAGCAAACACAGCTTCCTTAATTCAATCCTCATTCATGGTAATTAACTGGGGAGCCACACTGGTCCTAGAAGTCAACTCTGCTTCACAGTAACAGTACCCAACACAAGGCTGCCAGAGAAGGCTGCCCTGCTATATAAAAGCGAATGAGTCAGCTCAGTTCTCTCCCCCAGAAAGCCAGGAAAGAATACTTTTTCCTCACTTTTTGTAACTTTATTCATAACTGCCCTTGTGCTCTATAAATCCACTTAGCAGATTCTAATTCCACTCAGATTTAAAAAATCTAAACCCAAGATACTTAATCCATTTCAAAATTAGGTATTTAAAAACCTTTGGAAACAATAGTTAATAGCTATTGTTTAAATATATACTTCTCTTTTAATAGTTCCTCCTTACTGTACTGCCCTTATCCTCTTTGGATTTTTTGTCACTCAACATTTATGCAGACATATGCTAATTTTACTGATCCACAAATGAGTTAAATCTTAAGTTCTATATCCAGTACTTTTGGTTTAATTCACTAAATAGAAAGTTCCAAAAGGAATACTTATATTTTTTATCCTGATTTTAAAAACTGTTATGTCGTGGTGTAAATAAAAAAACAAAAGCAACCCAAAAAGATCTTTTACTTAGATGAAACCCATCTTGCAAAAAATCAATTTTCTGTGAGTAAATACCCAACAGTAACCTAATCACATACTGCACATTTCCCACAGAATGGCAGTTTTCAGGACTTGAAGTTTAGATTGTACAATGCCAGTGTACTGTTGGATCTCCAGGAGCCACAAATGCGTCATGCCTGGAAGCAAAACCAAAAGGCCAGAGGGCCAACAGCCTGACTCTAGCAGCTCTAAAAGCAAAGAGCAGATGTCCAGCGCCCTGCCCACTCACCCTGGGCCACACTGTCACTGGGTGACTGGTGGAACCCTTGCTGGCCTGTCACATCCCCACCTTGGCTCTGCATGCCAGGGAGGAGCTGCTGCATCCCGAGGGGCACTGGACCCACTCTGCTTGGCAGTGTGCAGGGCTCTCCAGAAGAGACCTTGCAGAGCGTAGGCAGGACGGAGGCAGAACAGAGAAGTTCCAAACAACTGAGGGAGATCGCTCGACGTGACCTAGCCCATCACTCATCACAGTGAGCCAACAATGGAATGTCACTAACGCCACTCAGTGACACTTACAGAGACCACACTTGGCCAGTAAGGTTACTGGTCTCTAAAGAAAACAAAGCTAACTCAGGAAAAAGCCATGAGCAGGAACGGGCGATGCGTGTAGGGCTGGAGGGGCAAAGACAGCAGGGAAGGTGTCCACGAGGAGGAGGCAGCAGCTCAGGGGGAGAGCATCCACGTGGGGGCAGGCCCCAGGCATCAGCAAGGCCAGGAGGGTGTCTAGGTGGTGGCACAGGGAGGTGCAGCACAAGATGTGGGGCCCCAAGTGAGCTGAGGAAGGATCGGAAGGCCAGGACAGGTTGTCACAGGCCAGGCAGGGCAAAGAAGGCATCCCTGTCAGAATGAACTCATGCAGGATGCTGCAGATCAAGGGGGGCAAGGAGAGAGTCTGTGCTGGGAAGGGTGTGACCCAGAACAGTGTCAGCCCAGTGCAAGGACGGGGCATCCACTTGTGGGCAGCAAGACGCAGTGACGGGAGAGTGGCTCCAGACAGGGAACTAGTCCAACAAGAAGACGTGGAGGAAAATGAGTGCCTGGCTTCTCCCTGACAGAGAAGGGAGATACATATGGAGAGGGAGGAAACTAGAATTAACCTGGTAGCGATGGACTGGGGCTGGATTCTGAGTGTACATGTGTGTATATGTATGTACACAGACAGCTACATATGGAAATAAACTCAGATTTAAATGTGTTTGTGTGTGTGGGTGTACAAACACATATATACATACATGCTTTCTTTAGTTTTGCACACTGGGAGCTCATTAGCAAAGAGCAGGCCTAGCTCCAGATGCTGGTTTCTAAATACAGTTTTCCACCAGAAGGATCCAGAGCCCCTTGGAGAAACAGCTGACCCCACGGCTGAGTCAAGGGGAGAAGAAAGATGAGCCCGGATCGTCCTGTGTCTGGGAATGCTCAAAAAATAGGTACATTTCAAAACGTTGCAGAAGACAATTTGGGACAATCTGAGCACCAAAATAATGATACTAATAGATTACACTCCATTGAAAACTAGGAATCCATGAATGCATGCTGATATCCAATCAATACATGTGACTACTGCTTCCAGCCCAGATGAAGAGAGAGGAATCAGATTTACACCATCACCTGAAACAACCGAGAAAAAAAAAAAAAGAAAAAAAAAAAAAAAAAAACACACACCACAAATTCATGCTTTTCAAGACCCTGGACATCAGGCAACAAAGGACAGTGTCCCAGTCCCCACCCCTCCAAGATAGGACATAAGCCAGGTGAGCCTCCAAATGCCCCAGCTGAGCACCGTGAGGGTTTCCGGGGCTCAGCACAGGGAGAGGAACAGAGGTGAAGCCTGGCAGACTCCGTGACTTGGGGACACAGCTGAGAATCCAGGGAAACTGAGGTAGCTAGACATCAAAGGACAGCATGCCAGAGAGGAAAGAGCCACGTAGAAATAATCCAGAGAGGGCCGGCCCAGTGGCGCACTGGATAGTGCGCCGCTTAGGAGGCG